TCAATGTGCAACAATATTAGATCCACTAAGATGCGTTCATCGATCATCTTGACTACAGCTTTTTCACTAACCACGCGTTATGTGGTTCGGGCGATCTTTATATGCGTCTGCTCTTTGGTCACCTACACTGGATTGGCCATGGGCGCATCGCATAGTCTAGGCATGTATATGACCTTCAACATTCTGGGTATCTTAGACATATTTTTGCTTTCAGGATTCCCCGTTTTTGATTTCGTCACCTTCATCGAGATGAGGCTGCTCCTTAGCGGGAATCAGTAGTTTGCTCATCCAATTTCGTCAATGAGAGGCAACAATTTGCGGGTTATAACTTCAGCGTAGCATATGTACGCCACACGTTATCACTAACACCGGGAACTAACAAGTGGCGTTTATTGGTTTTCTACCGCATTCGCCTAAAACCGAGCGTCCTTTGGCCAATGGTGTACATAGTGAGGCACACTCTGTCACAGGTGTATCACATGGGGAGTTTGGGGTATGCACTGGACCTTTTTCTACTTGGCTGGCTTCAAGCAGGTTTCTCACTGAACTGCACGATTACATGGGTCGGATATGCTTTCCATTGTTCAGTCAAAGGCTAGCGATGAAGCGCATGCAGGAACTGGGCGAAAGACTAGATTTGTTTAATGTCTGTAGCTTTCCTGGATAGAGACCACGTCGTCCTCATCTGTGACTATCAGTTCTTTATGATATGCCACAAGCACTGAGCCAGTGGCAAGCTTGCATTAGTTCCCTTAGTTTTCGCTTTTAGCTCCTCCATCAAATGATTTTACTTCTTTTCATTCATCTACTATGGATGTTGTTGCTCTGGCGTTGTGAGTTGTGTTGTTGCGTAGCTTGACCCATTACACCTCAGTGCACGGATCTTAGCTGATACACTAAACTAGATCGATGGATGCCATTTAACAAGCGTTTTCTTCGGAATTTGCTGAAGTGGAGTCTCACATACAACAGCGTTTTTTAATTCAATTCCATTCTTACTTCTGACATGCCTTCCTCCTCCTATCAAACTTAATAAGCAAGGATATTCGTTTGAAATTAAAACTAATACAACTCCTCAAGTCTTTTATGGTTTGCACTCTATCAAACTGGTCTACAGACAGCTCTTCTTTCCACTCTGTTGTGGTTGGCATGTGCTGCGTCTCTGAAACACACACGCACGCATGATAGTAGTGTTGCAGCGAGCTTCCGACTGTCCGGTGCGAAGTCCACTGGCAACAATTTTGTTTGGTGATCTGTTTGCAAAAATCTCAGAATGACCATGCGATGACCTGGCGTCAAAACATGATGCGAATGAACTGAACGACTCGTGTTGATGCTCGTCAGTGCGTGGGCCGCCTGTTTGTTCACCGCACCGATTGGTGACCTCATGCAACATGGCGCACCCGCATGATCAGTAGCAACCTAGCATCTGGTTTCTCGACTCCGATTGTTTAGTTTTTCATTCACTGACTGGCTTTTTGTCCCTTCCTTTGGATTTTCCTTCGTACGTTTTCCTCCATTCCTTATCGCTTTGGCTTCAATTTCATGCACTCAAACTGCAACTGACTGGCTGGTTTGAATTATTTTTTTTAATCACAATTTGTGATTCTTTCGATCTGTTTGCGAATGCATATGGATTTTCTTACTTGCATTTGACTTCTATCTGCGTGGCCGCTCACATTGCTATCTGAGTAGTCACTGGTTTTGAGACTTCACACCAAATATATTTGAGACTTTCCACTCCCCTTGCCCACATTACAGGACTTTTCCGCATATCTTTAGGCTCTCTTCTGACATTACACTGACAGTCATGTGCTTGTATCCGTGACTTATTGCGATTGACCTTACACTCTCATAACAATCGCAACTTCACTTGTGCTGGTACAAGTGCGAACTCTTTATCTTCTTTCTTCTTCACTTTCGCTTCATTGATCATCTGGTAGTTCAGCGTAACGACATCAAATTAGAACTGACCATGCGAACTCGCTTGTCTTGTTGCTGGTTGATAGCACCAACTCGGGTCTTTAAAGACAACAGCTAACTTTTTAACTATATGACCGGTTTATTAAAGCGTCGTCGGTGATCTCGCAATGCCCCTAGCCTGCACGCGACTGTTGATGGTTGTTTGGCTGCGAAGCGTCATTATGAAGTACTGGAGTACTATATCCATGGTTCGATACAAGGCGAATTCGCTGTTAACTGTTTGCAAAAATCACCCCACTCTGATCGCCATTCTCCCGTTCCGTTGCAATTGCTATGCTACACTCTCCACGCGCACTACGGTTTATTCATCCTGCGACATTACAAGATGTCGCTCATCATTATTGTTAATCATGGCACTCTTTGTGAAACTGTCTTTGCACACACTGCCCCCCTTTCACATCGAAAAACTCCGTGCGCTTGTTCATTTCCTTTCTGTGTAGAGCTCTACGCACTGTTAGTCATTCGCTTTAAGAAGTTTTTCCCATTTGGCTAACGCGACTGAACGATTGTTGTCCGATGCCTGCGTTAGTTGTGTCGACCGACTTGTGGGGTGATGATAATGCAGCCGAACAATTTGGCTCGCAGTTTTGTTGGCCCCCAGCTCCATCTGCTACCTCTGGCGCTCGCGCTGGGGCCGAGTGGTCTACCTCAACAGACCCTCCCTCTTCCCAGGAAATCGAGCAGGAGCTCCGGCACATGAAGCGTTATAAAGCCCACGGCCCTGACGGTCTTCCTCCGGCTCTGTTTAAAAATGGTGGCGCATCGCTGGTCCGAGAACTCACCGCTTTGTTTTCGAAAATTTGGTCGAAAGAGAAGGTTCCATTATCTTGGGGTGAATCGATAGTCGTCCCCATCTTCAAAAAGGGCCTGCGCACAATCTGCTCCAACTACAGAGGAATAAGTTTAGTCCCCGTCGTTTGCAAGCTGTTGGTGTCCATCATACTTCGCAGGCTATCCCCAAAACGCGAATCGTTGCAACGAGAAGAACAAGCTGGGTTTCGCCCTGGTCGCGGCTGCATCGATCAAATCTTCACACTTCGCCAGATCCTCGATCTCCGCCATGTGTATCAGAGGCCAACGATTGCTGTGTTCCTGGATATCCGTGCAGCCTTCGATTCTGTCGATCGTAAAGTACTGTGGCAGTGCCTTCTGAGGAACGGTGTCCCCGAGAAGTTCGTCTCCATACTGCGCGTTCTATACAGTCTGACCTCGTGCAGGGTTAGGGCTTATGGCATGCTTTCGCCTACCTTTGTGGTCTCCAGTGGTGTTCGACAAGGATGCCCTATCTCTCCGTTCCTATTCAACTTTGCCATTGAGTATGTCCTGAAGAACGCTCTGAGCGGTTCGTTGAACGCTGGCGTTGAGCTCCTCCCAGGTAGTCGAGTTGTTGATTTGGATTATGCTGATGATATCGTCTTGCTGGGTGACGATCCACAGGTCGTCCAACTTGCATTAAACCGCTTTGCGATTGAAGCAACAAAGTACGGTATGTACTTTTCGCCATCCAGATGCAAGGCTCTCCTTCAAGACTGGCAGGTGCCTCTGCCTACACTCACGCTTGCTGGTGAGACACTGGAGGTTATGGAGAGCTTTGTCTACTTGGGAAGTTGCATCACTGCTGGCGGGGCTGTTGGAGACGAGATTTCGATGCGCATCTCGAGAGCACGCCTCGCTTTTTCTAGGCTGAGGCATTTGTGGCGTCGCCACGACATTCGTCTCTCCATCAAAGGGCGGGTCTATTGTGCAACTGTTCGTGCTGTACTGTTGTACGGATGCGAGATCTGGCCCATTCGCAAAGATGACTTGCGCAGGCTATCCGTCTTCGAGCACCGCTGTCTGCGGTCCATTGCCCGTGTGTGGTGGCAGCACCACGTAAGCAATGTGGAAGTTAGACAGCGTGTCTTGGGACGTGGAAGCCACTCGCTCGAGGAGCTCATCTCACTGCATCAACTGCGGTGGTTGGGACACGTAATGCGCATGCCTGTCCAGCGTTACCCTCGTCGTGCGTTGTTTGCGGTTGCTGGACAGGGCTGGAAGAGACGGTCTGGTGGACAGCCTACAACATGGAGAAGCCGCATGAAAAAGTTGACGAAGCAATTGGCCTCGGCCGGTTGTTGTCGACTACCTGGTTGGGGTCCGAGAGATGCAGATACTTGCTGGTTGAAGACCTTAGAAGTTATGGCTCAAGATCGATGTCAATGGCGGACGTGTGCATCAGTGTGTTGCGGTGTCCCTACTTCCTCCCCCTAAAAAAGAACAAACTGAAAAAAATTTCAAAAACTGTGAGTGGTAAACTTGACAAAAAAGCATTTCTTGTTGCTCTTTTCTTATTATTCATATTGTTTTCCTACTCAGCCATGATTCCGATGGCACAATATCTGTACCACAGATTGTGTATTATATATATATATATATATATATATATATATATATATATATATAGCCCCTGGTTTTGCCATCACTCACCGGAGTCTTTATAGCACCAAATTAAGACCTTTGTGTTCAATATCATTATGTGGTTCTGAGTTTCTGTAAAGATTCAAGCAAGGTGATCGCTGCGTCTGGTCTTGAAACAAATACCGACATTTAGTGCACATTCTCTCGCTTCTATGCCTTTAACTTATGACGTCTCTGTCACTTTCGAATCGCCCTCTTATTGGCTGTTGCCACGAACCTTTGGGTGAATATTTTGCATTAAAAAGGGCTTTGTTGGTATTACCACTGGCGTTATTGCTCGTGCTCTGCACTGTAGCACATATTGACATTGACGTATTCCCACCCACTAGAAACTTGCTCATTTGTCTGTCAGTTTTTTGTGTGGTCCCTGCCCCAGTTTAAGCGCGTTTTAGTTAGGGATCCGCTAGTCATGGCTGCATGAAATTCCTTGCTCTCTTCTCCGTGACATTGACGGCGATTAGTTTGCGTCAATCTATCCACACTGGTCCCTCTTTGCCTCTGTTTCATTAATTACACTTAGTTTTTTTTATCCCTGTCGATTCTTTATCTCGCACCCCTAGGATCTTGTATCACAGGATCCATCTGTTGAGGAAATGAAGTCGATAGTTTGTGAGCAGGGATTACGCCCCGTTTCGCCCACTAACTGGTCCAGGCATCAAGTTATTGCCGCCCTACAAGACTTAATGTGCGAGTGCTGGTACGCCAATCCAACTGCCCGGTTGCCTGCAATGAGAGTGAAAAAATCGCTTGCCGCGCTTCGCAAACAAGTGGAGCTTAATCCCTGTCTTTCCCTCATCCCACCGGAGCTAGTGGTTCCTCCCTCCGCAACACAAGGTCTACCTCCAGGCATCATCCGCTACTCCATGGTTGTGCCAAACGCGCCGCTAGATGATTCAGCTGTTGAAGAAACCATGCACACCGTTCACACGACTTCGGACGTCTGCGGGCGCGATGAAGGAAAACCAGGGACGGTAAATGTATAAACATAGGCGGCAGTCGTACTGGCTCCATCCATCGACCTACACGACCGTCTCTCGGACCTGAATCGGCCACCCAAACTGAGCGTTCACTGGTAGCGTTTCGCTTTGCACAACTAAATGGAACCGGTGCGTTGTATCTGTGGTGAATTTGTCGCCCCACTCCTTTGTGTGGATGCGACAGAACATGCATCCAATCACATGAATGCGCCGTGATGTTGCATTTTGAATCCCCCACGATTCGATATATTTTATTTGCCCGTTGTATTCTTGATTAATTATTTTTTTGTAATTTGCACTCGGTGAGACGATTTTTGTCTCAACCCCACCTGGTGGACGCTGTTTTCATCAGTGTTGTCTCGCCTCATCCGGCTTCATGATCCTTTCAGTTGGGTACAACAAACCATCTGTCTTTTTTTGCTCTCTCATGTTCGGCCTGTGTGCTTGCCTTATCTTTTCTTTTAATACTCACGCGCATGGCTGTTCAACTATTGTTTGCGTCCAGTCATGCGTGTCCGTCTACACATTTCTACGCTTTTATTTCCTATCACACAGTTTAGTAGTATGTCATGGCTGATCTGCAGTTTCCTTACCACTCTTTCAACTCCCAACTCCCCTGCTGTTGGCCGCTTTTAACATTCATGCGTTTCTCTGATTGGTTGCCGTGTATAGTTCTTGACGTAATTTCTTCATCTCGTTTCATCCTCCTCATCATTTTAAGCTCATCTGTTAAAAATGGCAATTCAAGTTTTGCTTTTCTTCTTAACACCTTTTGATACTCGCACGTGACTCTACTCATTTTACCACTTATTGCCACATTTCTACATTCATTATAAATTAGTTCTCACATCTTGCTTGGTTTTGGTGTGCATAAACAGTTTCACTTCAATACGGGATCATCGGGTCACTTACAGATTACGCTCACCATCGTCCACATCATTCTGCTCTTCTCGGGCATCGAGGCTAACCATGACTTCACTACGTAACAGATAAACTGGATCCCAAGGGGGGACAGTGTGAGCATGTGAATTCAAGGAACTTTACTTGTCCTAGTCTCTTCCGGTCGATATTTGGGTATCACACTTAAGAGACAAGTTGCGGCAGTTAGCCGGATTTAACCAGCATCATTGCTTGCTCACGTCTGGTGAGAACACCGGGTGAGCATTGCTGACGTCCGCCAGTTGGTTTTTAGAAAGAAACCTTCTGGCACTTCATTTGGGTGTTTGCTTAAGCTTTACCGCTTATGTTGGCTAGGTCATGTCCGCTGTATCCCCGTTGACCGACTTCCTCGGTATGCATTTTACGCCGTGGCGGCACCAAGTTGGGCGAAACCGCGAGATGGCTGGTCCATAACAGGGTATAGAGGTAGGAAGTAACTGACTGAGAGACGGTCAGATTGACGCGTGACATTTTCGGGATGATCTACACCATCTATCAGACATGGCGCAGTCGCAAAGTCAATGATGTCACTGCATCTAGCTGTCAACCTGCATTCCATCCCGAATAGTGTTGCGCATTTCTGTCTTGACTCCATTTTTTATATTCTATTTGCATTCAGTCTCATTTTCTTACTGCTGTTATTCTGGAGACGTGAGTCGTGGCAACTGCATCATCCACCGCGCTTTGGTTCCCGAATCGTTGTTTTGTTCAGCTGAACTAGCTTACTATTACCGTGCTAGCTAGGATGCAGTCTCCTCGCAAAGCACACACCCAGACCACAGTTAGGCAATAACAAGGCACGGTACGAAACAGAGTGTGCCGGGCGAAGAACTGCGCACCTGGATAACATGACACACAATTTAAAGCATTACGTGAAGAACTATCGATTGTTCAATGCGAGGCAAACCAATGAGAACGTGGTGTGGCTGAACTAACTACTCGATGTCATCGACAGATGTAACATCCACTTCTCTTTTGGAGAAAGTCACAATCCGGGAACGAAGCATTTAACAGGTTTAGGTACAAGTTGAAATCCGCGAAGTGGTGGGCAGTTTGTTGTTTGCGCCGTATTCTGAGTGGTTTGTTCCACCGTCAGCTGGACCGAGTCAGATATATTTTCTTCCTTTTTTCGTCTTTCTACACAACGCGGACGTATGCGCTCTGAATGCCGCCTCAAGACACGATCATGTAACTCTAAGTCAGCCTGGGTCCCATCACTTGTGACCATGGTTGCGGGCTGTCATGACTTGGTGGGGAAGTCGTGTATCCACAGAATCCCCCGGTTGAAAAACAACATCGTGATCCCTGTCCAACGTAGCTGTCTTGTTTTGTTTCGCTTCTATTTGCGCTCGACGATTAGGAAACAATAGGTGTAGTCTATTACGAAGTGTTCTGCCTAACATCAATTCTGCGAGGGATTTACCCGTGGCTTCTCTCGGAGTTATTATGTAGACAAAAAGTAATCGATCTAATCGCGTTTGTATAGTTCCTGATAACCGCTTTAGTAGGCTTTTTTTACTGTCTGCACCGCCCTTTTGGCTAATCCATTTGACACAAGATGATATGGGGCTGTACGCACGTGTTGAATACCATTGCTCTGCATAAACCTCTCAAACTACTGGTAAAACAGGACCTATTATCTGTGCAAACATTTTCAGCCATTCCGAAAACTGCAAACGATGATCGCATCTTTGAAATGGTTGGTTCAGCCGTGGGATGAGACACTGGATAAACCTCGATCCATTTCGAATAGGCATCGACTATCAACTGGAAAAATGTTCCGTTTAAAGGACCAAACTAGTCTGCGTGGATACGCTGCCATGGCCTTTCAGGCCAACGCCAAGGGTCTATTGGACCTGGAGATTTATTCGACTCAAATTGGTGGCAGAGATCACACGTTTTCAGGTAGCTTTCAATTTCGGAATCTAAGCCGGACCACCAGCAATAGCCGCGTGCAAGGGTCTTCATTCGGGCAACACTTGGATGTCCATTGTGAAGTTCATTTCGAATGAAAGAGCGCGCTTTCGACGCTGGAGTCAAACGTGAGCCCCAAAATAAGCAACCATCGTGTATATTCAGCTCATTTTTCTGAAGCCCAAATGGTTTCAACATCCGGAATTTTACTAAGCCAACCCAGTTTCGTTAAACGTATCACGGAGGCTAGTTTAGGATCCGGATCAGTTCATCGACGTATGACGTCACTTGTCAAAGGAGTAATGTCGAGGTACTGCATCAAATGAACTAACCACCAGTTCATCTAATTGCCCCGCGGGGGTCGCGTGCGTTAACGCAATCAGGGTATCCGCTGTGCTATTGTTAGAACCTGGGATGTAAGATAGTTGTATTTATGCGCACTCAGGATTAGGGTCCATCGTTGCATTCTAGGTGAAAACATTTGGTTGATCCCCTTGGATTCAGCCAATAAGGATATCACCGATTTGTGATCTGTTTGGATCCCAAAATGATTGCCCTAAATATACTGGTGAAATTTCTTGACACCAAAGATAACTGATATGGCCTCTCGATCAAGTTGTGAGTATTTTTCGCGGCAGATTGCAAGGCACGCGAAGCAATCGGATGAATCGCACCATTCGGCATTTTGTAACACAAAACTGCTCCAATTCCGTCTGAAGAAGCAACGCACTGAATTTTCGAAGGCTTTTTGCTGTGGTAGTGAACTAAAACTGGCGCTGATGCTAAGCAGTTTTTAGCACGAATGAAAGCTGATTGATGCTCATCATTCCACACCAACTCGGTGTTTTTATGTAGCAGTGGGTTCAAAGGGGCTAAAATAGTTGAAGCCCCAGTAAAAATCGACGATAGTGTGATAACATTCCTAAGAATTATCGGAGTTCACCAGCATTTCTAGGCTGCGGTGCCTGTATATTTGGAGATACTTTATCCTGCCAGACATGCAGACCTCATATCAAGTTTGTAGCCAAGATAACAAACAGATTCGGACAAAAACGTTTAGATTTCTTCAGTTTCAATCCATTCATTTCCAAGTGTTCAAACACCGTCCGAAGTATCTTTAAATGTTCAGCATCACTGCGGCCAGAAACCAGGATATCATCCAAATCTTTCACGATGTCATCCACAATCCGCTGGAAAATGCTGGGGGCGGAGTTTATTCCGAAAGAAAGTCGGGTCTACCGAAATAGTCCAAGATGTGTAGTTATGGTGGTTCATTCACGTGAGTCCTCATCAAGTTCAACTTGAGAATATGTGTGACTGAGATCAAGCTTAGAAAATTTTTTGACCACCGGATAACATAGCATACAAATCTTCGATAATCGGCAACGAATACCTTTCCACTTTGGAAGCTTGATTGACAGTTAACTTATAGTCTCCACAGATAAGAACGGTACCGTCGGTTTTGAGTACAGGAACAATTAGGGTACCCCAACCCGAGTGTTGTGCGGGCATAGTTACGCCTTCGGATTGTAGCCGTTGTAGTTCTGCTTCAACTTTGGGACGCATAGCGTACGGTAATGTTTGTGCTTTGTAACACTTGGCATAGGTGTTTTCCCGTAGATTGATGCAAGTTTTGAAATGTTTCAGCTTCCCCAACTTATTTTCGAATAAAAGAGAAAAATGGTTCAACAGATCGTTTAGGCTGCTGTCATTGATCGCAACCTCATTAATCTGCATCGGATCCAACTTCTTCCCAGGAGATTTGGTCTTTTCCCAGGTACCACGATCAAAGGTAGAGTCAATACCCGCTCGCCGTGGCTGACTTTAACCAAGTACCTTCCCAAGTCCCTAATTGGATCTCCAGTGTAGGTTTGTAATTTTGAGTCACATGGTTGTAAGGGCAGCAGATTCTTGATTGTATCATTGTTTATACTGGTAACTGCAGTCCCCGTGTCCAGTTCCAAATCGATCGGTTCATTCTCAGCCATAACTGGCAAGTGTTTGTATATGTGGTCAGGTTCAGAATTTCCTACTATTATCAGACGCGCACTGCGCATCATCTCCGTTGGGTACGGATGCATACTAACTTATGCCGTTCTGCTCCTGTCCCAACCACAACAGTGGAAACTTGAGCTCCGTAGCGCTCCCCGCCTTGCTCATTTCACGCTCTCCATCGCACTTTTTGTTTGCACTTGGCACACCCGTTGAAGCAAAGCGACCGGTCGACACTTCGGAATATTCCGTCTTCGGCTTACTTGCATCCACTTGAACTGCCGGTGGAAAAAACGTATTTGACAAAAAAAACGGTTAGAGCGGCCATCTCGTGCACATAACTTGTGGTATCGTTGAATCGTTACTATAGTAACCTGTTGTAGATTCAAGTATTTCAGTGTGACTGCCCCCCGGGTGGGTGCTTCCCGGATTTGAATGAGATTTACCCAGTGGATTAATCCGCACTTTTTACTCACAGATACTTTTCCTTGGTGTTATGTCATCCCTCGCCCTCTTCTTTTGATTTGATGAAGGGTAAGACTATTCTTTATGTGGAGTTCAGGGATGGGAGAAAGCAACATCGACATCCTTCACTTCAGTTACGGTCCTAGTCAAGTCAACCGAAGCCACGGTTGAGATTGCGTGTCGCAAGCAAAGACACACGGCGAGTATCCCAAAACGCAGCAACCAAGGATAAGACTTACTGAAGAATGATCAGACCACATAGTTGGACTGAACCTCGCATCGCTGAGGAATATAGCATTTATTTATTTAAATAGTCCGTCCATACTCAGAAGTGCTGCGTCCTTGCTGTCTGATCTGGGTCATCCACTAGTGACCATATATATGCCATCGACGGCGAATGATTCCACTCATTTTACGAAACTACTGATTTAAGTTGCAATTGAATACCCGATGAATGAGGGCTCTTTTTGAAGCGGAATCTATTTTCCCTGGAATTGAAGATGTACATCCGAACCTAATATCTTCACGTATTTATAGTCGCATGTTTTTAGTAGCATGCTGCCTAAGGAAGCTATTA